ATATATATATATATATATATATATATATATATATATATATATAGGTATACATATTCATTTATTTATTCCAGTTGGAATTTGTAAGACATCGCCTCAAAGTTCGTTAATGAGCTTTATCTCAAAAAAAATTGCTTCCATACGTTTGGCTGTCGTTTTTGTTAGAAGTTGTATAATAGTCCGACACCGAGTGTCGAAAGTATTGGATACTTTTAAATAGGTACTCATATGTGTGGACTCAGCACATCTCTAATACAAGAACGTAAATTTCAATTTACGCTCTTGGTTGACAGCGCAGCCAGGGTTCGGACTCCCCTACGATCGGTAAACTGAAAATCTACTACGCAACTCGATACCGGCGAACTACTTAGATTTGTTCGGGACAAAGCAAAGCGTATTAAATGTGCTTTTCTTTTTTAATAAAATCATGAGTTATTAAATTTTGAAGGGCCCTCCAACTTAGTAATTTTCAAATAAAGTATTAAGTTGTGATACTCCCAAGCACATATATAAACACCGGTGTACGAAAATAAACTATAATGCACATTACTCTTTCATTTTGTTTATTCCTTCAAGAGTTCGTTGCAATACGAAAACAAAACGGCTGAGTTTACTTTGCGATAGTACACTACAGTAGTTTAGTAGTTACAGACGAAACAACAAACGAAATGAATTGTGCAGAGAAAAAGATATGTATGTATGTAGTACATGTCTTTGAATTAAATTGAATATGAAAATTTACGAAAAAAGAAATATATTTTTTTTCACGTAATCGAAACGTTTACATACATATAAAACGTATGGTACCATTGTCACAAACGAAAATCAACAGTCTCTCGTTGGGGAAAATGAAAGTGAATCTTAAAAGTTGGTTCTGACTATGTACAAAACTGTATAAAACTACAAATGATATGATGATCGATGAGCAAATGGGAATTGTTTGTACAACCTATTTTCGCACGCTGATAAGCACTTGCGATGTTCCGCACCATGCGAACAAATAATTCATACTTTGTTCTAACTTTTTATCTGAATCGGTTTATTTATCGAAATGAAGCATTTAGTTTTTGTTCTCAAGATAGTTTGTATAAAAATCTAGACGGCCACATTGTTAGCCACAGCCAAGTTGGCAGTCACTAAAGCATTTATAAATAAAATGTGAAAACATAACTAAATGGCCTAAAGTCGATAACCGTGTGTTTGTTTTGGGTGGCAGGCCGTGTAAATACACAAATTAACAAAATGACAACACACCGATGCGAGCAGAGAAATCAAAGTCGATAACCGTGTGTCGATGCATAAACATAAGGTGCCCCACACACTTTATGCAAAACTCATGCAATATTATGCACACTATACACTATCACAAGACAGTGATATATGAGACCACCCGTACCATAAAATATACGAAATTTACAATAGCCACATATAATTAAGTTTTTTTTGCTACTCGCCACCCAACTAGAATATACATATATATACAAGTACGTATATCTATATAGCCAAATATACACAAAAGGGAAAAAATAATGATTTCAGACATCAACGATGACTCGCTTCACCTCGATGAGAAAGAAGGCCGAGCAACAATCAAACCGCTTTGCTCTAGCTTGCCGTTTATGCCAGGGTATGCATCCGATACGGCTCTGCCCATCATTCCGCGGTAAAACTCCCGAAGAGAGACTGAGGGAGGCACTGATTGGTCGCTTCTGCGGAAACTGCCTGTCCATGATGCATCGGTCTGACGAGTGCACGAGCGAAGAAAGATGTCGTCGGTGCCGCGGAAAACACCACACAACGCTGCACATGGATGACGAATCCGAACCCCTTCAGCCGATTGATACACGCCCATGGAGCGAGCAAGTTGCTAGTGAGGACGAGTCCGAACGCGCGTTATCTATCAACGCGTCCGACCACGCAGATGAAACCAGGCCGCTCCGCCCAGAAGATGAACTAGCAGAATCCACACCGGAATCTGGGACTCCCCTCCCGACTATAACCAGGGGATCGGAAACTCGGCCTTTCCGACCCCTGTTAGAGCACGAACGACGCCGAGAACGTGGATCGGAAACACGGCCTTTCCGACCGCGGTCAACAGCCCGGCAGAACCGTAGAGCGGAAACTAGGCCTTTCCGCCTGCGGCAAACGCGAGAGGAGTCAAACAGGCCCAATCGCGATCAGGGTAGACTGGAGACGAGGCCTCGCCAGCTATCCATCGCATTTCGAGCGGGTCGACTTGCACGCGAAACCCAAGCGTTACGACCGGTGACGTCTATTGCTCCAACGGTCGTGGTAAAAATAGAAGCTCGTGGACGGTTGCACCTTATACGCGCGTTAATTGACGTATGCTCTCCGACTTCTATAATTGCGACAGATTTAGCGGTAAAACTCAGGCTCGACGTTTCAAATTTCGGAAACCAACGTGGCTGTCTACTGCGTCTGAGGGGAAAACACGGCCAGAACACCAGGTTGGCTATCCACGCCACAACGATAAACAATTACGTCCGTGTTAGCCCCACTAGTAGCGTCGATCCGTCAGTAGCGACAGCGTATACGCACATACGACTAGCGGATCCAAACTTTTATACGTCGACACCGATTCGCTTAGTACTGGGAGCCGACGTATACCCAGACATCGTACTGCCGGGTATGCTCCCAAACACGTTTGGTCCCTTTATCGCCCAAAGCACAATTTTTGGATGGATGCTCTCAGGAGTATGTCGCTCCTAAATTCAATGTTTGATTTTTTTTTTTGTAAACATGAATTTTTTACTGAATTTTGAAATTTTTATCAATAAATGTGCTCTGAAATGTTCAACCATACCTTTTTCATTAGTATTTCTTCCTTTTATTCCTTCAATAGCTAGGAAACTAAGACGTGGACCACCGGAACTTGGAGGCATCCTGCCACTGGAAACAATAATAATCTTTTTTTCTCAAATGAATTGTTATTTACATATATTTAGACTGTTTTTTTTTCTACTTCTTAGTACTCAGTCCGGCGTGGTGGCTGAAGCGCTCGACCGATGTTGCTGATAGCAAGGGGGGCCGGCATGTTTAGGCCTTCATGCAAAACCAAATGATTTAAAGGTCGAACCACCCTAATGTAAAAGTGCATTGACTTGAGCCGACCACACAAACACACAGGCATATATACGGCCTACCTTTATTGCTACGCCGTTAGCAATAAA